TGACCAAAATTAACAACTTTTTATTTAAATTCTACAGGTCTGTAAAATTTAAATAAAAAAAGTTTATTAATTTTGATTAAGTAGTTATTGAGATATCTTCGATTAAAGTTTTGTTATAAATGTTAGCACAGCTATAATATTAAGTAATATTAATATTTTAAAATTTTTAAAACTTTGATTAAAGATATTTTAGCAACTACTTGACCAAAATTGATGAACTTCTTTTATTTATATTTTACAGATCTATAAAATTCAAATAAAAAAATTATTTATTTGGTCAAATAATTGCTAAGATATCTTTAATCAAAGGTTTAAATTTTTATAAACAATAAAGTGATAAAATCAAGATAATTTTCAGTATAACTATGATGCAAATAGCAAAAAAATTGTGTGAATAGCAATTCCCTAAAAAATATTATTATATTTATTATATAAGTATTTTTTAATAGTTTATTATTATTAAAATCAAGGTTGTAATTATAATTAAGATTAATGCAATTTCAAACCTTTTAATAATAAATTGCTTAATAATTTGCATATAATAATAGTATTAAAAAAGTATATAAACTTTTGAGGATTAAATGTAAAATAGCTTATTTTTTTTAAAAAACATATTAAAATTAGTCACTTTATATAGATATTTTATAATATTTATATTGAAATTAATATTTTAATTAATATTAAAAAACTAAATTAAAATTTTCTATTATAATATAAATTAATTTATTTAAATATTTTTAAAAATTTTATTAAGTAAGCTATACTACATTTAATCCAATTTTGAAATATCTAAAAATATTAAAAAGTAAATATTAAAATATTAAAAATATAAGTTTTGCTACAGAAGTAGTTGAAAAAAAAAATTCTAATATTATACTAAAATTTTTAATAATATAATATTAACAAAATTCTTTAAAGTTTATTTATATTAAATTGGAGTTAGATTTAGAGTTAAAAATCTAATATATTGTAAAATTATCTAAAGTATTACTTTGTTAAAGAATAAAAAAAGTTTTTTAACCAAATATATTGTAAAATTATCTAAAGTATTACTTTGTTAAAGAATAAAAAAAGTTTTTTAACCAAATTTTTAATAAAGAGATTTTTTTAAAAAAGTCATTATTTTATGGCGACCTGTCACCATAGTGCTTCTGTGATCGACCAATCAAAATCGATCACATGAATCACATAATTTTTTTATTAAAAAATTTTTTTTAAAAAAAAAAATAAAAAGCAGAGGAAGTCACTTTGTTCTGGGAGAATGTATACCTTGTTTTTTACAAAAGTCTTATTAAAATAGTTGAAATATGTAGCATTCGTGATTACATTACATTTGTTTTATGGAAAATAAATTCAATTATTTTATTACACATTATATATTATATTTCATGAATTAACGGATAAACCTCTATTTCAATTTACTTCTAATTTCCTTGATACTTCTATTATTGGATCGTAGTTCTATGCGTTTCTATTTACTTTTAATTTCCTTGTTAATTCCATTATTGGATCGTAATTCTTTGCGTTTCCTTGTGCAACTTACCTACCTCAATTACAAAAGAAAATATTATAATATTTTAATTATCTTTTAAATTGCTTCATTTCAGCATTTCAATATGTAATATTATTCATAAAGTATACTTGTTTTCCCGCATTAAATATACGTACTTTTAGCAATGCAATAATACGGCTTTGTGGCAAAAATGCTCTGAATTAATCCTGTAAATACTACTATCGCTATATGTTAACTACAGTCGATACTGTCTAATTGCATGCCATCCGTCAGAGACCTTTTTATTCATATAGACAGTATATGCATTTAAATCATAAGAACCATTTTGGTGTTAATGATTAAAAGCCAAACAATTTTTTATGCACTTAGAGAGTATATGCAATTAAATAGTATGCAATTAGACAGTATCGACTGTATATTTAAAGCATTTTGCTATTAAATTCATATCAAATATAATGTTTAATTAAATAGGCAAATATTTTATAAATAAGAATATCTATTAAATCTTTGATAAATTAATTAAATATATATGATATACATTCAAATCTCTTGAAGTTAAAAATGAGCTTAACTAAAAGGGCGAGTTAACTTTTAATCGTTAAAATAATGCACCTAAAGCCCATTTTAACTTATTACGCCACGATCTTCTGTTGATGGCAAGTAGTTGATAAAAAATATATATACTGTAGTTAGCTAAATCATTAAATGGCAAATTCTGGTATTTTTTATTCAGTTGATTTATTTACTACCAGCACTGCTAATCGCAAATTATGAAAAACACGGCAATAATTAAACTTGGCACTAATTATAGTCTAAGTTGACTAGAGATCTGATAGAATGCGCAGACAATTATTTTGCCAACAATTTACATCTATCCAATACTGTCCATAAATCAGACTATTACTTATAATTTGTGCCAGTCCTAATCTAAATCATGCCAACTTTATTGACGAAATGACTGTTAGTGAACAGTTATCGATGGTTCATAAATGCTAATAAGATCTTTGATATTTTCCATTATTGGGCGATAGTCTTTGGTGTTTCCTTGTGATAATCTACCTACTTCAATTATCTTCCACCTTCCTATAATCAAAAAAAAATCTATAAAAAATAAAACCTTAAATTAAAACAAAATTTTATCATTAAAAGCCTACCGTAATACGATCGATCAATAAGACACATTATAACAGCTTGTGATTTGCCAGCCTTATGTATATTGTATTCACATAACTGCTTATCCGGTTTCGCTTCATCATATAATTTAAAGCTTGGATTCCGTAAATGTTCAATTGTAGAATTAAATGAGCTTAATATTAAATAAAGCTGCGTGACACTAGGAGGAAGTTGGTTAAGTTTCACTTTAATTTTCTGATGTCTTGTAGCTGTAAAGATGATTCAAAATTATCAAATACACATCAAAAAAAAAGCAATATACAATTAAATATACTGTAATATTAGGACAAACCACTTTTCCTGTCTCTGACATCTCCGGAGTGCGAGATATATGGTACATCAGAATAAACCTTATTTGCGAAGTCATATTTTTTCCATAATTTATAACCTTCATATATTAAACAGGAGCCGTCGAGATAGCCTGTTCCTTCGGCGGGATGATTCCAATATAAATCGAATACTAAATCTTTTAAAGCATTCATTTTCGAGATAGAATAAAGTACAACGATAAGCTGAATAAGGCTATTTTCACAGATTCCATAACTTGTGAGTGTATTAAAATCATCCTGTATAGAAAAATAACGAATAAAATATTAAGATGAAAATTATAAAGACTTTAATCAAGAATAAATAAATTACGCACATCAAGTTCAGTGTTTTTATAAATTAACATTTGCCTATCAATATCTATCTTAGTATATTTCATCAATTTATGCTTTAACTCTTTAACCGTTTTAATTTCAGAAATCTTTAATTCAAACTTTTCACCAGTTAATCGAACCACGTAAAATATTCCAGAGTTATTTCCAGAATTTGCATTATTTCGTCCAGAAAGGTCAGTATTTGTTTGTTTTGTTTGTGGGGGATTCCCGAAATCAATCTTAAAGGTTGCATTGTCCCAAAGCAAACAATGCTCATTAAATTCTTGTTCAGTTAATTTAACTTCGCATATGGGACACCGATGATTCTGCATTTTTCTTAGGTAGCTTACAAGACACTAATAAAAAGTTTATTCAATTCAAATAAATTAAATACGTAGCATAATTATGCAATGTTGTACATATTATTAATGATATACCCTTAAACACCAGGAAGTAATATGTTCACACGTGGGACTAATTGTACCAAATGAAAATTCTCTTGAAAGTTTATTAATTTGGCACTTTTCACATTTCATTATTAAAAATATACGTACGTACGTACGTATAAGATCTATTGTTCTTATATACAATTGAAAATGTTACGTATGTATGTTACGTATGTATTTACGTATGTACATACAGTACGTACGTGGTTTATTTGTAAGCAAATTTTATTGTTTTGCTAAATTAATACAAATCTATATACTAAATGACAACCATAATCGGATTTACTAATTTCCCCACCACTTCTGATTGGCTGTACTAATTATTCAATTATTGGAGTATTAAAATTGGTAATTTCAAGTAAAAATTCGTGCTGTTGGACTAGAATTAATATTTTGGCATTATATTATAATTATAAGACGTTTCTTACACCAAAATTTTGCAAGGAAAAATTTTTATTAGTGCGTAGAAGACAGTTGCATATATTGAATTTAGAGTTATGGGCGATTTTTAATTTTTGCATTTTTTGCGTATCTGTTACGTTACACCTTGGCTCCGATAAATGAACAATTAGTAAAGCCAATCATAATGTGGTGGGGGAAATTAGGGCGTTCCCATAATCAGGCGTTTTGGATGTTCTTTGTCATGCATGATATCATATGATCGGAGAAATGATTCTCTTCTCCGCTAGCCAATAAGATTAAATAATTAAGGACCGTTATAAATGACAATCATCGTAATCAGGCATTTTGTCCTTTGATTGGATGTTCTTTGTCATGTATTAAAGTTGGTGTGACGAAAAATAACGTGACATTTGTAAATAAGCTTTTGTGTAACGCTATAGTTTATAGACTTTAATTAGACTTTTAGATTGTTATATATTAAGCTTTACTACATTTGCGTAAATAGTATATACAGCATATCCTCACCGATCCTGTCAAAATTGATAACCTGTTATATCCTATAAAACATTGATCCACCATGGCTGTTCCATAATTCAGACCCTATTTCTAATAATCGATACAGATACTTATAAGATATCGGGTTATAAATCAATTTGATTAGCTCAGATTGAGCTTTGTGTGACTAAGCATACTGTAATGGATTTTGCACCAGATGGAAGCTTGCATGATTTTATTTCAAAAAATGCTCATATTTTATCTTGACCAAAAAAAATTATAATTTTACAATACATTGCAAATGGTCTCAAAAAAATTCACAGTAAAAATATGATTCACGGAGATCTTCATAGTGGCAATATACTCATTGATAGTGAAAGTAATGTAACTATTGGAGATCTTGGATTAAGTAAATTAGCAAATACGGCATCAGAAAGAAAAGAGATCTTGGTGTAATTCCATATATTGCGCCAGAATTATTTAATGGAGAAAAATATATCAAAGCTACAGATATATATAGTTTCGGAATGATTATGTGGGAAATGACAACGGGTCAAAAACCTTTCTCAGATCAGAATCATGATGGATTTCTTATTTTAGATATTCTTAATGGTCATCGTACAAACATCATTGCCAATACACCAAAATGTTATGTTGAATTAATGGAAAAATGTTGGGATGATAATCCATTTTTACGACCGGATGCAATGAATATTTGCAATCATCTAGTCAGCTTTTATGAAAATAAACAGGATTTTTTGGAAAAAATGGAAATTCCGCCAATTAGAAAAACAAACCCTCGGGCAATATATACTAGTCAACCATTAAGTTCTTCGATTCATACAGCATCAAATTATTATACAGGTAAATGTTATGATCATCACAAAGTATATAAAACTTATGCAACTATATACAACTCCAATGTAGACTTATATAGCTATAAATTACTTAATATACTATTTTATATTTATTTTATATCTACATAAAAATAAATTAATTTATTTTAGCTTTTTCTCAAAAGTGGCCGCTCGATGTACTAAGTAAAAATGTTTAGCATGCTCGAACACCTTTTCCCAACCTCTAATTTAAACTTTAAAGTCCAATCCTAGCCTTTTTAATATTTAATTTAATTATTTTTTGCAGCTTTACATAGTTCTATACAGAAATATATCTAGATTTACATGAATAACTATGTAAATCTACATTGGGTTTATAAAAACGTGCTTTGTGATAATGACCTTTTTTAAGATACGAGTTTTTTATTATATCGGGTAACATTTTAAAAGTAAATTATTTTATTTTTTAAATCTTTTAGCACATGATTCACGAGATGCACTATGTGCTATTACGGATGAAGGTAATATTATTTAATTGATCCGGAATGTAGCAAAGTGATATAAAAATACGTTTGTGATGTATTTCAACCAAAAATGATTACTTTTCGATGCACCTGCATAAACAAAAATATAATTTGGAATTTTTTTGTTCAAGTTTGTAATTTAGTGTACATACAAATTCACGTTTGTGAAATATGCTCCGATCAATAATGCTACGCAGTTTTCTAGTATTAATTTTCAATAGCTTACATTTATAAAAAGTAGATGAATATAACAAGCCAATTTACTGCACTTTTCAAATTATTGTGTCCACTGATTCTCATACACCACACCGGAAATCAGAAATCTAGAATAAATGCAAATCTGTGATTGGTTAAAATAAATTTTAACCAATCACATATTGGCATTTTTCTAGATTTCTGATTCCCAGTGTGGTGTATGAGAATCAGTGGATACAGTAATTTGAAAAGCACAGTAATTGTTATTATATAGTCTGTTCAATTAAAATTCTATTTGTTTTCATATTATAAACTCTTATTTAAATATATCTATATTAATAATATTTTGACCACTTTTCAGATGTTATTATTTCGGTAATACAATATTTCCTCACAATGTTTAATTCGTTTGTGTGTATTTCTTCAGTGCGTAGTTCTGTAGTTTATATCATGTTTATTCATTATCTCTAGGTTTCGCCTAATAGCTTACTTCCAAAGTCTCAGGATTTAATCTTCGCTGAGTTTTGACTTTCGCCTTTCGCCAGGGGATTCGCCAGATTTCGCGGTTTCGCCAAGTTTCAGGTTTCACCAGTGTCGCCTGGGAGTTTCGTCTTTCGTCTTTCGTCGGGTTTAGGTTTCGTCTTTCTCCATTTTCCAAAATTGTTTCGCCTAACAACATTAAATAGAACGTATCATGTAGATTAATAAATGATACTTAACGGGTAAACTAATGTGAATCAATGAAAATAAGAGGTATTACGTGATTGTTAATATCCATGTGCTGAACGATTCAAACGCATAGATTATAAATAGTCTTTATGCTCCACCACTAAACTGATGCGAATTAAACGAACTTGAATAAGAGAAGTTTGAAATGGTAATATTTGTAACCACTAAATGACTTATTCATAAATATATAATTTAATTATTTGACCTATATTTACCCACTTGAATTAAAACGAACCTAAATAAAAGACATTGCAGGGCGACTAGTATCAATTAGTTTAAATATATAGATCAGAAATAATCCTTATGCTTACCCATTAAATTAATGCTAATTAAAAAGAATTAAATAGGTGGTAGTTAATATCTGTGGACTTGGATAAATATACAACAAATGATCTATGATCCTCTACTAAAATAATACGGATTAAAGCGACCTAAATAATAGCTTAAATCAGAGATGTCACGGGACAGACTTTGGACAAAGTTTGGACATGGACATTTTTAAATATTAAAATCACTCAAAATTTTATTAAGATAATCTATTTCAATTTTCTAAGTAAAAATGTTAAGAATTAAATATAAGATATAATTATATATTTTAAAAATAGATTTCAATTATCAAAGCTTAGATAAGCTTTGGACACTTGGACGTTTGGACGTTGGACATGCCAAAAAAGGCTTTGGACATCAAAATGTACATCCCTGGCTTAAATATATATGTAATAGTAAACTATTTGTATGCTCACCTGCACCATTAATGTCATGGGATTATGAAATTTTGGACCTTAACTTGAAAAAATAAATCCTACTAAATCTTTATTATCAACTTAAATTCTATCAAATTCCTAAAAAATAAACAGCTAAAAAGTTTCTCAAAGAAATTTATTAAAATGGGTCCAAATTTCAGCCAATTTCTGTATCAGTTGTAGCAATAAATGTTCTTTAAATTCATCTAAACCCACTAAATTAATGCAAACTAAAATAACCCTAAGCAAATAGTATTAGGTGATAGTAAATAGTAAATAGTCTTCATACTTAGTCACGCCCACTAAACTAATATAAATAAAATGCGAATAAATTTGCGTGAAGTAAATATTTAAATAAATACTACTATTAAGTTAACAAGAGTTAAATAATTTAAAATAAAAGACACCCACGAAATTAAATATCTTAAATACATTGCTAATTAACTTATTTATAATATGATAAGCATATGAATTTTTGCTCACCAAACAATTTATAACTTCATCTCTAGTTCAATAATTCAATTTTCATTATATATGCACTCGTCGTCAAAATAATTACGAATTACTGTACAATACTTTTTTTAAAAGCTCGGGTAGCTAATTTGTATGAAACGAGAGTAAATTTAACGGATGAATTAATGTTTTTGCATCGTTCTATATAACATATTCTTTGAATCCCCGTGAATCCCACAACTTTTTTTTTGTAATCTGATTGGTCGATTTGCTAAAATTCGAGATATGAGTGGTTGACAATCACATGTAATTATACTGGAATCATCTACGAATTTGAACGGTCGCTCCTGTTGATTTCATGTATCACACTAGGGATTGGAAATCTAGAAAAAATACCAATCCATGATTGCTAATAGTAATTTAATTTCCGGTCACAGTAATTTGAAAAACACTGTAATAAAATTTTGTTATTTAATGGATATCTGTGGATACTAAGTATTCTATGAAATACCCTGTATCCACAGAAATTCATTAAATAATGCATGTGGGTCTTTGCCTTGAAGATCACCTTCCGATATTTCCGATCGGGTTAATTCGGACAAAAATAAACCCTATCGGAAATGAAAAGGTGATTTTCAAGGCAAAGAAAAGACCCCATGTGATATTTTCCGTGATCTAAGATAATTTAAATTGACAAATGACGCTTGATATAATCATTACGGCGCATTTGTAAACTACCCCAAAATTTAAAAAAGTTTGACTACGGATAGTGAGTCAATTTAATTGACATCATATATACGTATCGGTATTATTGATATCCATTTTTTCATAGTTCTGTCTAATGGGGTGCGTCACTACGCATAAATAATTTAAGATGGGTTGCATTAATACTTTAAGATGAGTTACATGAATAGTGGGAAGATAGGTTAGACATAAGACTACCATAAATCTGGGGTGCAAAAAAATTTTTTCGGGGTTTAATTTTGATCGATTGATAATGAATTTGGTGACCATTATTTTAAGTTTGGTGACCATTATTTCAGATTTGGTGCCAATTATTTGCTTAATTCCGCCGATGCGCCGTAATATAATGTCTCCGAGCCCAGCCATTCTTGTATTGAAAGCCATGAAAAGAATGTTAATGACTATAAACTTTTATTATCATTATTTTATATTGATATATTGCAATTTGCAATATGTAACTAGTGTTTCGATCCTATTTTTGACAGGCCATCCGGATTCTATTAAATCCGGATTGAATCCGCATTAAATTATATATAAAGCCAGTTTTTGTGTGCACTCTTAGGTTCGTTATTTAAGTTTCTTGACCAATCCGCTAATCTGAATATCTGAATTTATCTAGATTTAAGAATCAATTCAGACAGTCGGATTCGGATCGAAACACTATATGTAACGGATACGTATCATTTCACCGAATCATTTTACCGACAATTCATTTCACCGACAATCAATTCACCGACAAGTTTATTTCAACGACAACTATTTCAACGACAGCTCATTTTACCGACAAGTTTTTTTAAAAAATTGCACTAACCTTAACTCTAATTCTAATCTGACCCTAATGAAATGACCAGAATTACTTTGTCGGTGAAATGATTGTCGGTGAAATAACTGTCGGTGTCGGTGAATTGACTGTCGGTGAAATGGGCTGTCGGCGAAGTGATTGTCGGTGAAATAAGCACCACCCATATGTAACATACTCAATAACTAGATGGTCTTAAATATAAAAAACTGAATATTAACATTGTAATTTATTTAATTAGCCTCTAGCATTTTAAACTGCACTAATATAGATTTATATACATACTAGCAATTTTTATACTATCTCGAAAGAAAACTGTAGAATAAGTTGTCATCACTCATAGAAATGTGGATTTTTATAAAAATTTTTCGGCTCTACTAAATCACATCAGTGGCATTCAACACCATAGCTGCTATATCCCAAAAATGTACTAGCTGACACGCGTCAGGGTACTAAGAAAAAATGTTCAATGCCCAAAAAATCCCACTTAACTAAAATTTAGGCTATATCTTTATTACAATTCAGGCTCCCTAACCCTAAATTTTACTAGCAAAACTACTAAAAACATATATGTGGTATTGAACACCACGTTTAGTGTTATTGAATTTCTTTAATATATGCGACCTGAAATAATTGATTTTATTAATTTGGAAAACACCCTAAAATTAGAATCCTACTGGCTCCAGTTTCAGGTTTTGTTTCCGATCTGTATCATTATTTATTGTTATACAATAATTTCACATACCATATTGATATGCGATTGGTGTTCAAATTACATAAACTATGCAATTTGAATATTGATATGGCATGCGAAACCTATTAGCTATTGCACAAGACTTGAAAATTACTATATAAATGAGCTTCATTATAGTTGATAATCGAATCTATATTTTATACAGCCAAAATATTTTCGTCATAAGGCATTAAAATGTCACCAACTTGTAAAATATTCATTTTATTATCATGGTGGAATCTCTACGTTAATTCTTCGAAAGATAGTGTCATTTTTGATTTAATACAGCATTGTGATAATGACTTATCTTGAATTACCAAAGTCAATTTAAATTTAATGACAAAAACAGATAAAAAGAATGACAGAACTGAATAAAGAGGATATGGCAAAAAAGAATAAAGAAGATATGACTAAAACGAATGATGGAAATATGACAAAGAAAAAAAAGAATAATTTTTGTTGAGTTTTTTTTCTTGTCTTTTGTTCATTTTTACTCTTTTTTAGTTTTTGTTTTTTTATTTTTCAAAGAAAACTTTCAACATTTCTGAGCATAATAAATCAAACACAAAACCCTATACCTCATTATATAGTAGGTACGTTCCCAGTTATAGCAACAATAGCAACAAACCCAAGGGATAAATTGTTGTTGAAGTTAACGTGGTTAGTGCGTTGTCTTGGGTGTCCATTTACAGGATTGTTTTACTTCTGTAACGTAAAAAATAACTCAATAGAAATGGTCGCGTATTGGCTTCCAGCATGTTGTTTTGGACAATGTTTGGAACCAAATGAGAATCTTACCGATATTCCTTACCGACCATTTGGAATTCATGCTAAGAAAATGGAATTTAACAAAATACAAGAGAAGACTCTAGAACTTTGCGTTGTTAATGCATCTGTATTGGATAGATTGTCATCATTAATGTCAGGATATTACATATTATTTGGTACATATGTAGGAGTATCTAAGCTTATATTTGGTGAAAGTCCATGTGCGTATGATGCACCATACCAGGATTGGCCATTTCTGTCTTTATTATTAATTTGGACGTTGCCTGTAATTTACATTAGAGTTGCTAATGGAAAAGTAGTTGTCAGAATGGCAATGGATTTAGGAATTCCATCGGACATAGAAAATCCAAATGATAAAACAAACCCAATAAATGAAAAAAATAAAATCAAAGTAACTGATTATACAAAAAGTGAACTTAAAACGAAAAGGAAGTTTACTATGATCACTGCCTTAGCTCAATACTTCCTTGGATTGCGGTGATTATTGCCTACTTTACTCGCCCAATTGGATTCTTCTGTCGGTGTAGATTTTTGACAGTAATTTGTTCCATATGGTCATTTAACAGTGTTATTGCATACATATTACATTTAAGAGGAGAAAATGATGTGTTCGGATATCGTTTATTTCATATTTGGTTTTGTGTTTGTGGTATTACAATGATAGTATTTTTAACTTTCTTTAGTATATTGGCAACCTATCCACTTTTATGGACTTTCATTAATCATTTATGTTACGCTTCTTGTGAACCAGAGATGCAGCTAAATTACGGGGAGTAAAGAATAGTATTTTGTATTTTAAGTATGATAAGGAGAAATAAATGACTCTAATTATATATTATAAATATAAGTTCCTAATGTATAATTACCTGTTTATTTACGATTTTACCTATACTATCGATTTGTGCATTACGTGCGTAAGTATATCGTATACAATTTTCTATTTTATGTCTTACGTATGTACGTGCCAGGAATGGAGTGCAACGAAGAATATCGTTGTATGTGGTGTGAAAAGGTGTATCAGAATCTGCGTATCTGATTGGATATCATTTTTGTATAAGTAACATTTCGTATATACATACAAGATTCATTCAGGCAAGAATACCTACAAAAATACCTGTAAATCATTTTATTCTTACTGGCTGTAATAAGAATTGATCATTCCAACAAAAAGTCAGCATATTGACCAGAATCCAGCGTCAGCCCCTGAAGAAACTGATTTCACATGATTAGCTTTCATTTAATAACGCATTATACAATCTATTGTTATCAAAGTTATAATCACATAGCTTATATCATTGCGTAATCAGAATCTTCAAAGATTGAGTACGATAAAGTGAAAGATAATGAATCGGTTTACCTTTTCGGTCACTCATATATAGTACGTGCCATACAACCTTAATTATAGGGTTTTTTTTTTCGAATTCAGTATTAACAATTAACACAATTTAATCAAACCAGCATAGCGGGCTTTAAATCTGATTGGATGATCGACCGAAATGTTACACAATATGTTCTTCATATTAGCGTAACGT